ACTCTGTCTAGACAAGTCCTTGACTTTCTGAGGGATGGCAACAGATGGGGAGATGGGTTTCAGTGATAAGAGCTTAAACTTATGGAAAAGCAAGTCTGTCAGTCAGTGGTTATAACCAAGCAAGAGGGTTGAAGAGGTAACAGGGCAACAGGACACGAGTTTACAAAACCTATAGGAATAACGTGAAATTTTAAGATCTTAAATAATAAAATTAACCAATCTTTTCACTCCAAAGGTCATAGGATTCAGATTTTAGTTTACGTCTTAGACGACAGCAACCTGGATGGTCTACACCACAGATGGCATATGTCCACTTCTCAAACACAAGAGTACAAGTGTCTGGAACTGAGTTGTCTTGGCAGTGCTGCCAAGGGGCTATGGCCCAAGAACATGTGGGATTAACCAAAAATGTGCTTAGAACATTGCACTTCTCCTTAGTATTACAGAGTTACCCTTTTCAAGAGAAACAAATACAAATAAGTAAATTTCTTAAGGCAAAGATTCCACAGAAAGTGCCTTCTAAATGAATGCTATCAAATGAGGCTCATCATTTTCTCAAATGAAACAGACTCCCATCCTAAGTACATTAGCATTTTTAATTTCTTTTTTAAAAAACAAATAAAATCCTATTTATTTTTAAATACCATAAATGTGCTTTCTTGTTTAAGGCCAGGATTCCAACTCTAGTCCAGAAGGCTCTAAAGGAAGACAGGGCTGTCCGCTTTTATTCAGAGCAAAATTATGGTCAATGAATATTCATTAATAGAGGGTGGTGTTCCTTTCCTCAAAGGATATGAGACCTTAAAACAGGTTTATATGGGACTCCAGTGAATGTCACATGTGAATTTTAATGCTAGTTAACCAAGTCTTACTCTAAATAAAGAGCTAATCAGTCACTGTACTTTGAGAGAAACAAAACCATCCTTTTTTGGGTGGTGACACATGTCCATCTTTGTGCCTAAGCAAAATGGAAATAATTGAGGAATTGACTGAACCTCTAGTTAAGTTTTCAGACCTTTGAAATACAGTAGTATGTTTAAGTGTAACACTTGGTGGGCATGAGTGTGGAAGGGAAATGTATTTGTGCTGTCCCTTTCTGTGGGCAGAGAATAATCTTGCCAAACATCCAAACCAGTAACTGCTAGAAGCCAAAAAAAGAAAGAAACAAAATGGACAAGCTGATTCATTTCCTGTAAGTGGTTAGTTCCCTGCTTTGTTAATCTCTTACAAGTATCACTCTTAATGCCTCTGTCCACAGTGGTATGCAAAGTGGGCAGAACGTTTTTTCCCCCTTGCACTCAACATTTCAGCTAAAGAACTAAAAATCCCCAGCAAACTTTCGCTTTGAATTCAGCGTGGATCAAGGGTGATATTCAAATCCTCTTTAAAGCACAATACCAGGAGTTTGAGGCCTTACTCTGTGATTGCTGCATTTTCTAAATGGGTGGACTTCCATCAAAGTGGGAAATAAATAATAGTGGGCGGTGGAGAGGAATCTCTCCCTCCAGTTGTTATCATCCATCTAAAACAGGCAATACTTTTGAAATACCTCTGACTCTTGTTGGGGTCGTAATAGACTTTAGCCAATCCATTTCCAGTTCCAACCATGATCTGGTTCAGCTTTGGATGCCACAGGCAGCGAACAACACTCTGCAAAGTAAAGGCACAGTGATTGACTAAAGAGGCCAGATAAAAATGGAAACAATCCTGCTGGTACTTTGATGGCTAGTCTACTATATCAAATATCATCCTGATGGTTTACCTCTAAGTTTTAGACATTTTCTTTTAAACCATAAAGTTGTGTTCCTAAAGTTAAGTTCCATTCCATCACTTATTATCTGGGTGATATTCCATAAAAATAAAAAAGATGTTCTCTTCCTGATATTATCTCCCTTTCTGGACAGCTTTGAAAGCACAAAATTAGGTTTCCCAGCTCCTTTACCACGTGAGGCTGGCATTGTGGAATGCTGAATCCATATAACTCAGTTACACTTACCACCGAAGCAGATTTCATGCTCTTACACACATACAATATGTCCCTCTGGACAGCAGATTGAGGCCAGGTGGTTATTGTTTTTAGTTCACAATGATCCAAATCTCATAAAGCTTTTTCAGAAACAATACATATTTGTAGGCATTTAATAATGTCTCCCTATCTATGAGATAAAACAGCAGGACAACGGCAGAAGTAAAACAGAGATTCAGAATACAAAGACTTGACATTAACCTGAATGAAAAGCTGTTTAAGAGAAGGTTCACTGGAAGTTATGATCCTATGAATTCATTACTGGTGAAGAAAATAAGTGGTGCTCTGGGGTTGAAAATAACCACAAGTTCTCAGTGGGAACTACAGCCTGTTTTTAATTTTTGTCTGTATTAAGAGGGCAGAGGTGGGAGGGACAGCATGGATAGAATTAAAGGGGAAAAAGATGAAGCTAATGTTGATAAACAGAAACTACATATACTAGGTTCTACAGAACTCACTCTGATACAACAAGATATGTGTGGAAGCATTAATTCAATGTTTACTAATAATCTATCACTTGCCAAACTATACACAGGGACAAAGGGGGGAAAGGGTATAATTAAATATTAGCATTTTATAGTTCTAGTGGTAAAACGAAAATCATGACTACTGTTTCCTAAATCTAGTTTTGGCTAAATTTCTTTGGTTCCTTGTCTCTAATCATCCCACTCTTTTGTTAAAACAGAATATCTTGAAATCTCTGAGATCCTTTTTTATAGAATATTGACTCCCAGCTGGGCATGGTGGCATGTGCCTGTGGTCCCAACTACTCAGGATGCTGAGGCAGGAAGATCGCCTGAGCCTAGGAGTTTGAGGCTGCAGTGAGCTATGATTGTGCCACTGCACTCCAGCCTGTGTGACAGAGCAAAGGAGGGAAGGAAGGGAAGGAGGGAGGGAAGGAGGGAAGGAGGGAGGGAAGGAGGGAAGGAGGGAGGGAAGGAAGAAGGGTGGGAAGAAGGGAGGGAGGGAAGGGGTGAGAGAGGAGGGAAGGGGAGAGGAGGGGAGAGGAGGAGAAGGGGAGGGTAGGGGAGAAGAGGAGGAGGGGAGGGGAGGGATGGGAAGGAGGGAGGGAGGGAGGGAGGGAGGGAGGAGGGAAGGAAGATTCCGACTCCCGTCTGAATGGCAAAAAAAAAAAAAAAAAAAAAATAGATAAATGGCTACAAATCCTTACCTGAGATTCCAGAGGAACTAAGGAGAAAGCTGAAAAAAATCTACAAGACTTTTATTTAATTCATATCTGATTTAACAGACTTACTCTAGAAGAGTGGTTCTTAATCTATGCACCACGAAGAGGACTGGGATATTTGTACAGAGAGAATCAAATCAGGATGGCTGTGTTTTCCCCATTAGTTGGGGAAAGATTAAGTTAAAAGGGCAGGTTTTCACAGTGTTAGGCTTTCTTTCCACAATTTTCCTCAAATCTATGGTGCCTGCTACCCAGGCTAGCAAGTGCTAAAAGATAACAAAACAAATACAATAGTAAGTAAATATTAACAGAAAAACTTGAAAAAATAATTTCAGTTTTGGTGGGGGTGGGGGGGGCGGTTGTTGCTGCTTTGTACCTATACTTGTAAAACCTACGTCATAATGTATACATATAAAAGTCACATTTTCTCCTAATAAAAACTGTTCCTGGTTGGGAAGGTGGAATTAAGTATATCAATAGCTCAAGGTCTACAAAGTGCAGCTTCTGGGTCCTCCGCCACTGAGACTAATTTGAGAACCATGCCTAGACCACTGGAAATTCCCAGATGGTCACAGCCAGGTATATGGAAACATGAGGAGAGTCACAAACATAACTTGATGAAGTCATGTTTATGAAACCCTATCTAGAAGAAGTCCATCTGAGCCAAGACTCATTTCTTTTAGTCTTTGCTTAAATGTTGTTACTATTCAGACCACCCAATTTAAAACTGTGCCCAGAACTCCCCTTACTGCTTTTCTTTTTTCTCATAGCATGTATCATCTTTTAATACAATATATAACTTATTTATTAATGATGTTGATTGTCTACCTTCCCCACTAGAACATATGTTCCATGGGCAAAGATCTCAGTCATTTTTTTTTTATTTTTTTGGCAACACATCCCAAGTGCCTAGATTAGTGTCTGGCGCTCAACAAATGTTCACCGAAGGAACAAATTAAAAGCTACAGTTCATCCATGCCTAAATGGATTGCACTGCAAGGTAGAGCTGGAGACAATTTTCAGATTAGTCATTACTCCAAGAGGAATAATTTGATTTCCTCATATCATTATACTCAGGTATCCCACAAATGTAGAAGGGCTAGTTTCCTTCTAATGTGGTCCTAGAGAGAGAGAGAATGTGCATGAATCACAGAGCAATGAAAGGGGCTGTCAAAGGCTTTCAGAAATCTCAGTGACCCATAAATGGCCCAGGACAATATTAAGGACATAGTATTAGAGTTATTTCTCTTTCTTGGTTCTCTAGAGGTCTGGCTAAGCAGTCTAAGATTACTGGTTCTCAAATATGTTTTTAAGTGAGCAGGATGCAGAATTGGAAAAGATCCACAATGTAGGCCTGGTAAATTCCAAGACATCCAGCCAAACAGGCAGTTCCAGTGGCAGCAGGTTACTGTTACTGTCTCTCTCTTCACTGAGGGTGTAAATGTTAGAGAGAAACAACTGCCCAAGCCAACAGACCAAGGTCCAATTGCTTTCCAAGGAGTCCAAGGACACTTCACCTCTATTCCTGTTCACATCTTTTACCCTCCAGAGCCTTTACACACTGGTTAGTATACGTTGTTACAGAGAAGCACATTTATCCTCCTTTCATAATGAAACAGGGAAAAGCAAATAAGACACTTTGAACTAAATAGTCATTTAGTTCCAGAGCCCCATGCACTGTGGCAATGAGTCACCAAAGCAGCCAATGAGAAGCCTGTGAGCAATCTTAGGCAGAGGATACTTAAGGCTCAATTACTCTAAGACCAGTTATTAATCAAATACTGCAAAGATTCTAAAACACAAAATGAAGAAAAAGAATTTAAAGCCAAAGGTGGGTGGGCCTTTTCTGTTTATTAATATTTATTGTGTGTGTTTAGCTAACCTTTGTAAACTTTGCAGCTAATGCAGCTCCACACTTTATCCTGTCAAGGAAATGCATCTTATAGCAGAGAGCTGGCTACCTGCCAAACCAAACAATCCCTGAGACTGCGGCGGGACTGGGAAGCAAGCTGAGCTGCCACGCTGCTAACTTGTCAAACATACATACCGGGCTTTGCTTAACAACAATGCGACACGTGTCTGCTAGAAGCCTAAGGAACCATCAGACAGATGAGCTACAAATACTTAGAGTACAATCCCTCGATCAACCAACCACTCCAAACTTTTTTCATCCTGTTCTTGAAGAAGTGCTTCTTTACTGGGAACTTGACACATTCAGACCTATGGGTTTACCAAGAAATGCAGCAAATAAAGCATGGAGAGCACATTTGAATAAAAGGACCAGGGAACCAGCAAGGAACATCAAGACATGAGATCTACAGGATCAAAGAGAAAGCCCTCACATTGTATCATGAGATTCAACTGGCAGAAGGCCACTACAGTGCAAAGATTCTGAAATTAGTCTGTATATTTTAATAAACTGATTTGCTTAATTAAATTGACAAAATGTTTTATTCTTACATTAATCTACTTCATTTCCCAAAACATGTGGGTTCACTAATGGTAACTGCCGAAGCTGAACTATACCTTTCAGCACAAAATTAAGCTTATTATTTTTAACCAAAGCCCATTTTCATTTTGGCCTTTTAATTTGGTAGTGGAGGCTAACCACAAATTTGCCCAGAAATAAGAGGCAAGAACTGGAATAGGATACTATAAGCAGGATGACTAGGAGTTACAAGACCTTAATATGCTCAACAGAGAGATTTTTCTTTCCTACAGAGCTAAACAAAAAAAGAGAGGGGTAGGCCGGGAGAAAGGAGAGCACAATGTCAAACTAGGAGTGTCAAGATTCCAAAATAGGAATTTTGGAATTACCCCTTAGCAAAAGTGAAAAGGCCACAAAAATTTCCAAATAATTTATTTCTGTGGTTTTTTCGTTTACCTTTAGAGAAACCAGGGAAGCAAATAAGGGGAGGAGGAGAAGGAAATCAAAGAGAGAAATGATTTACATTTTAGGACATGGTAGAAAGGGAACTATCAGGTACTGGAACTTTATATTATTTAATGTAATTGAGCCCTCACAACTACTACAAAATTAATAATCTCATCCCATCTCACAGATGAAGAAACTGAGGCTGTAGAGAGTGGTAACTTTCCCAAGGTCAGATAATAACTTGCACATAGAGGAGCTGGGTCAGTAAGTAAGTTTCTCCAATGCCGCTGCTCACTCCCTCACTACTTAACCATGCAAAGACCTATTTGGAAAGATGGGGAGGACAGAAGGTGGGAGACGTTTACTCATATCCAAACCCACCTAACCCAGTACAAACCTTAGCAAGTTTGTATTAAACAGCAGATAATATTACTAAGATCATAAAAGAAAAAGCCCACTAGTTCCCAGTTCACAAATGTTACTATTAAAGAAATCAATGCCTGCATAACATCTTAGGTATCTGCAATGCACATATCTAAACACCACCCTTATTCTACAAGTTAAAAGAAAACCAACAGCCTTCATAATTTTATACCTTAAACATGATTATGTTGAAATCTCATTTCCAGATCCTCCACAGCTGCAGACCCGTACTGTAAACCAAACTCCATCTGGTTCTTTCACATTTGGTTTTTGTCATATAGTACAAGAATGGATAAGCGAACACAGTGGTTCCTTGAATAAGAATTTTTCAGATTTTTCAAATGAAAAGCCTGACATCTATCCGTGAAAGAGATTTTCACAGAATTTTGCAGACTTGTATAGAGGCAGTCTTAGAGTCACATACATCCTCAGGATGATCCAATACATTTGAATGGCTGTGTGTGCGTTGTGTATGTGTGTGTGCAGATTCCAGACACTAAGAAAGGAGAACAAGATGTGAACCCAAAATAAATAAAAAGAAAACAGATAAAAACATACAAAAAATACTGGAGAAAGAAGTTTCTTCGGATTTCCACAAGCCCAAGATGTATTTCACAGAGAAAGAAAAACTGTTTTCTATATTAAAATATTGGGCCAGGGAAGAAGAAGAGTAAAATGGGAATTGTTTCAACTTTTCCAGGCTATTTGTCCTGTCTTTCTTCCCTCCACTCTCTCTCAAAGCCTTGTTTTCTCAAACTTGAGATGGCTTTGCCGCATATATAGGCCACAAGACTTGGCCTTATCCCTCTAAAGTTCAGGAAGCAAACACGGTAAGTCCCAGTCTCCAATAACTGAGACTCACCAGCACCATCTGATCTCTATAGACATCCCCTCAATGAAAAAGTTCAAAGGCAGACATTTTCTCTACACATCTCGCTAAGTGGGCATAGGCCCCCTTTTTTTCTCCTCCACATTCCTCTAGTTCCAAGGAAGTTCTGCCATGGGCCAGGCTTGCAGCAACTGTGCAACTGTCTTTTTCATTTTTTTTGCCAGAAATTTTCTCAATCTTCTCCCTTTCCTATCTGAAAAATTCTCTAATAGGCCAGTTAGAAGTGCAGGCATGAAAAGAAAAAATGCCGTAGTCCTTTCATAAATGCGGGGGCTGCTGCAGAAAAACCAAGTAAGGGAAAGTGTTACTTTGCACCTGCCATACATATTTGATACAGATGCATAGATTATGCTTTTTAAAAACTGGCATCTAATTATCAAATTAATTCCCATTAAAGTCATGGAAAATGGTTTTAGCAAAATAACTCATTTACAGTCTGTGCTATAAAATAAAGGTAACCACTATAGCAGCAAAAATCTGGAACCTGGTAGTTGTCCTTGGCACTAAATGAATCCCATCTGTATCTGATAATAAACCTGCCTGAAGAATTTCATCACAAGAAAAAGTTCTCATAGAAAATGGAAGGTCTCTTGGGAAAGAAAATTAAACACAATTTTGTTCATCTAATTCAAAACAGTAAAAGTTTGCTCCGATCCTGTTACCTGAGAAGAATTTGTGAAGGCAAAGAAGGCCCAAGTAACGACTGAAGAAAGTCTGGTAATTATTCTTATTAATGGTAGTCTGTGAGCAGGAAACAAACAGGAGACTGAGAACGGGAGTCCACAAGGTGAGTGACCCAGCTGGGTGGTCATCCTACAAAGCAAATGTCCCCCAGAGGTCCCACACCAGGGGTCTCACTTAGACGCAGCAGAGCTTCCCACTGGTGGGCACAGAATGGGATGCCAAGATATGGCTGGGATGCCAAGATATGGCAGGTGTGCCAAGATATGGAGACCCTCATGCCTAAGAGGAGCCTGGGGCGCTGGGGTCTCAGGCTAGTCATTTCTAGAGAAGAGTAGCCTTATCTTTTTATATCACATATTATCATTTATTATGGAGACCAGGTTGCCTAAAGGCTTGGGCAGCACGATGTGGCTATTTCTCTTCATTTAAGACCCACGGTGTAAACCAAACTCCACCTGGCTTTTCTAAGTTTGGTCTACACAGCTGAGGGCTCCTTTACTTTTCTTCATTAATCAACAGAGATAGGCATAAAGATAATGACCACCAGTCCTGTGTTTATATAAATAAAACAGTAATGCATGAAATTTATTAAATCTCTAACTGCTAGATAAGAAGTATATGTAATCAGATCTTGGAAATCATTAAGTATGTAAAACCAAGAAAACACAGGAAAAGCTGAATCTTCCTATATAGGCAAACTATGCAGATATGTAAAATACTATTTATCTTACTACAGTACAGGTAAAAATGTTCTAACTATCATATTCTTTTATTTAGTCCTTTGGGGGTTCACAACCCATCCTCCTGCAAGACCATTATCTATAATTTCTAAAAAGGAAAAACACTCTCCTGGGATACATTTTAATTATAAACCTCTTTCTTCTCCACACTATATATAATTGTGAAAGTTTGGCCAGAATTCTGATAGAACAGCTGGAAAACTTGTTACCGAAGATCATTCATCAGATTCAGGCTGAGAGAGAAAAACCGTCAGAAAATCCTACAAGACATAAAGTCCTTTACTTGGTCCATCAGTGGGATTCGATATGATGCTAGGGTTAGACAACGGAGCTCTAGTCATTATTGTATTATATGTTTACACATTATGAAAAGAATAGTATCATTATGAACATTTTTTAACAACATCTACAAATCCTCTTTATATATATTTTATAGAGGAAGTAAGTACGTTTCTCCCTCAGGGTTGTATTACCTAATGGCTGATTCGTTACCTAGCTTTGCCATTCATGGCAATCATGTTGATACAAGTTTAAATACCTATTAAATATATTTAAATACTTATTAAATAAAATATAAACCTCTTGTGTAGAGAACGGGGGAAAGTTCCTGTTTAATCAAAAGGGATACACTATTTCTATTGTTTCATAGGATTAGAAATAGAAGCAGAAAAATCTTCATTTGCAAATGCTGGCACTACTGAAGATGGGATGTCTTTTAATATAGCTTGTTATGGGGTTAAATGACACTAGGAAATAGATAAATGATTAACTGGATAAGCCCTCCTTTTGGTCCTCATTCTTTTGCTCGCGAAGCCTAAGGCAGCACCAGATTGGCCCTTCACCTCACATTGTAACTTCCCAAATGAGATCATTGTTAAATCGGTGGTCACAGGAAAAGACACTTGACTGCAGGGTTTGAATCTGGATTCCTCCAGTAAACGTTATTTCAAGTAAGAGGACATCAAATAGAGAATCTACAAAACTGCACCTGAATCAAGAATCTGCTAGTTACAAAAATTTATAAAGTTATTCTTTTAAGAAAGAATGAGGTCAGGCGTGATGGCTCACACCTGTAATCTCAGCACCTTGGGAGACTGAGGTGGGTAGATCACTTAGATCAGGAGTTCAAGACCAGTCTGGGCAGCATGGTGAAACCCTGCCTCTACTTAAAAAAAAAAAAAAAATTAGCTGGACGTGGTGGTACTTGCTTGTAATCCCAGCTACGTGAGAGGCTGAGGCACAAGAATCACTTGAACCCAGGAGGTGGAGGTTGCAGTGAGCTGAGATCACACCACTGCACTCCAGCCTGGGTGACAGAGCAAGACTGTTTCAAAAAATATATAAAATTAATTTTTTTTAAAAAAAGAGAGAATAAAGATGAGAAAAACAAAGTGATAAGTACTGTATCATATCAGTATCTGTCCCCTATTTTAATGAGGAGTAATGATTTGACTTTGGATAAAGTGTCAAATTCAAACAAATAACTTTTGCTTCAAAGCACAGAGTATGTTTTAAAAAATAGATCCAGGAAACATATCATATTCATTAATAGTGTCACAACCAAAACACATTATATTCATTAGAATTTAAACTACCAGTGTTTTAAGCATCTTCAGTAAATCTGTGTTTCCTCTAATGAACCCAAAACATAGCTATTCGTAGTAAGTCTGAAAAAAGGATCAGCTATCTCAAGTTTTAAAGAAGTAGACAATTACATGTATATTTCTTTCATAAATTCTAACAGAAAATATGTGCACTGAAATTCCAAATTAATTTTTAAAAGCTATAAACCTATGTTCCAACACCTTGAATAAAAAAAAAAAAA